AAAGGGACTATAATTCTTAGTAGTAAAAATAAGGGTAATTTCTTAGTTTTTTCTTCTTTTAAGTTTAAATTAATTAATAAACGTAAGAATAAAGGTAAAACGTTCTTTAATAAATATATAAAATTAAGGGAAAGATCTTTTATAAATAAAGGTATAAAGTTAAGTTTAAAGTTTAAGTTTAAGTTTAATAGTTTTAAATTAGCTTAATATAATAAGAGAAAAGGTTAAACTTTAAGGTCTTTTAAATATCTTTAAGCTAATATTAGCTTTTAAGAGACTAAAAGAAAAAGAGTACTTAAGTGTTATTATATTATTATAAGCTAATAATAAGAGTTTAATAAAAGAAGTTTAATAAATATAAGCGTATTTATTTAAGTAATAATAGAAAGTAACTTATAACCTAAGAAAAGTTATAATAAAAGTAAAATTAAAGCTAAACCTTTAATAAATCTATTATATCTTTTATTTCTTATAATTAAATAATTTAATAGATAAAAATTTAAATATAAATTCCTTAAAAAAAAAAAACTCTTTTCTTTTATTTTAGTTTTACTTTTAATTACTCTTTTTATTAATAATAAGTAATATCTTAATTATTATTACCTTTCTTATAAATCTCTTATAATACTTAATTTAATTAAGTTTAATTAATCTTACGTTCTTATAATATAACTCTTATAATTTATACTTAATACTTCTTATTTAATTAAATAAGTTTAATAAGAGATTAATAGGGTAAAGTAATTTATACGCTCTTTAATATTAAGTGTAATACGCTCGTATATAAAAACTAAGGTTTCTTACTTTAAAGTAAGGTTATAAAGTAGCCTTAAAAACTAAAAGAATAATCCTATATTTACTAATATTTAGTAGCTTCTCGCCCCACACTTCTCGCCTTACTCTTACCTAGCTAGAACTTTAAGCTTACACTTAACTATAATTATAAGATTATATAATAGAGAAGTAAATACACTTACTATTAATTCTATTATTTTATAAGGTACTATTAGTATAGGTTTTTAGAAATTAATTTTATAGTTTATTAATTTTTTCTATAAATTTAATATATTATTAGCTTTATTATTATATCTTAATATATTATAAAACGAATAAGTGCTTATAGTTTTTTAGTCTTATATAACTTTTATAATTTAATATATTTAATCTTATTTAATTTTATTAAGTTTATAGTCTTAAAAATAAGAATTATTACTTTATTCTTTAAGCGTTTAACGTAAATTCTAAAACTTCTTTAAAGTTTAGTAAAGTAAAGCTATATTATAGCGTGTTTAGTTATTATTTAAAGGCTTTTAAATTATTTAAGTTTATAATTTTAAAAAATAAACCTCTTTATATCCCTTTTTAAGTGTTTAAAAGGTATTTTAAAGTCCCCTTAAAATTAAAAGTTTAAATCGTTTATTCGCGTATATTTAGCTTTTATTTAATTACCTTCTTTAAGCTCTTATAGTCTCTTAAAGTATAAGTATTATCCTATAACTTCTTTATAATTTTAATACTATAGTATTAAGTTCTTCTTTTATTTTATTTATATTAAGATTATTTCACGCCTTATAATTTATATAATCTTTTATAAGTAGTTTCTAGTTTTAACCTTCTTTATAATCTTAATCTTATAGTTTTAATTTCTCGTAAAGATTTATTCGTATTATTCCCTCTTAATATAAAATAAAGGTTTATTTATATTATTCTTAGCTTTATATAAGTCTAGTAATCTTTTTTAACTTATTTTAAGCTTTATAGTTTTAATCTTATTATTAAAACTATATAATAATTTAAGGTATTAGTTATATTAATTACTATTCTTCTTTCTTATTTCTACTTAAAGTATTCCTAGTAATATTACCCCTCATTTCCCCATGTAACGTGACTTAATCCACTTTTCTCCATAACAGGTGGGAGCCGTGGTGTGGAGCAAGGCGCCCCTTATAAAAAGGCATTCAATTCTCTGTTTTGCAGCTTTACCAAGGCTTTCATTAGTATTCATGTGTCTTTTCTTCTGAAACAGGTGCTTACTATTGTGTGACAACCGTTCGATGGCCCCCAGACCCGAATAATTATTCCTTCAGTCAATATATTTTGCTCGAGTAGCTCTCCGACTTCTTGGCATGAGATGGCCACTACCATGGCTGACCGAATTTCTTCGGTGCTGGAATTGGAAGACGTCTGCCGTCGGACGCCGCTTTCATACGCAGCCGAACGTGGTGACATCGATGCCGTCTCGGGGCTTTTGAATAAGGCTGCAAATTACCGGGCTGTTGATGCCTTGGGGAGGACCCCTATCTTCTGGGCTGCTATCGAGGGCCACGTGGATGTGATCAAAGAGCTTATAGCGTACGGAGCGGAATGGAAGATTGAGGATGCTTCTGGACGAACTCCTCTATCGTGCGCCGCTGAAAAAGGACACACTGATGCAGCTTGCGAGTTGGTGACGGCGGAGGCTCCCGAGGGGTCATCAGAAGACGAAGACGACGACGCGGCGGAGGGTTCAGAGAAATGTTCCGACAACGACTCGGATGATTTCTCCATGGCTTCGACCGCTTCTATCGTCTTGCCATTAAATCTCGCGGTCCGCCGCGCCGATGAGGCCGCCGTCAAGACCCTACTGCAGCATGGTATGGACATGTACTACGACTCCGCATGGGAAGAGGATCCGCAGCCAGTTCTACTCGCGGCTAAGACTGGTAATGGTGAAATCATGGATATGCTTCTGAAAGCCGGCCTTTCCCTAGACAGAGCCGAGGACATGTATGGGCGAACAGCGTTGATGTTTGCCGCTGTAAGAGGCCACGAATCCACAGTCCAAATTTTGCTGGCGAGGCCAGATATTCAGCTTGACAGTCAGGATGAGACGGGTAAGAATGCACTCACATATGCTATAGAGGGAGGACATGAAAACATCGCCCAGATGCTACGGCAGGCAGGTTTGAGTGAAGAACGGGGTGAAGCCCAGTCTGAGACATCTTCCGCCCCCTCTGATAACGATGACGCGCTTATTGATACGCACGTGCCTGTTGACTCTTGCCATGCGCTGGCAAAATCAAGTATGACGCAGGGGACAAAGGACGAGGAGGTCGTTCTCCGCCAGCAGGATGAGCGTGTCTTCAAAGCCATTGACAGTGGTAAACAAGATGCGCTATCATTGGCCATACAGCGTAACGATGTTCATGCGGCACATACTTTGGCAAGACACAAGGGGATAGACGGTACTGCCCTGGATAACGAGGGCATGTCTCCTTTATTGTGGTCGGTCAAGTCCAATATGCCATCAGTGACACGGATGCTCATGGCCACAACACACGCGCTACACGTGGACAACCAGGGTCGGAGTCTGATTCACCACGCAGCCATGGCGGAAAACGGTGACATTTTCCCATTTCTCGTAAAAATGGGGGTTCCTGTCGATGGACCAGACAAATCCGGCCGAACACCGCTCTCATACGCTGCAGAGCTGGACCGAGTCGCCATCGTGAAGTTGCTCCTTCAGAATACTGCCGTGGATGTCAACCATGCCGATAAGACTGGGCGCACACCACTTTCATATGCCGCAGAAGGCGGCTCGGACCAGACAATAGAGCTACTACTGGAGAGACCCGGAGTCAAGGCGACTTTGGCCGCCGAGAATGGACGGACACCGCTGTCATACGCTTGCACTCATTCGACGTCGACGGCACCGACATTTGAGTTGTTGAGCGCCGTCGACGCTTCTGTTGCTGACACCGAGGACAAAGATGGCCGGACTCCCATCTCATGGGCTGCAGGCTCGGGTTCGGCTTCTGTATGCTCTCGGCTCATTTCCTTGGGGGTTGACGTCGATCGTATGGATAAAAATAAGAGGAGCCCTCTATCTCTTGCAGCTGAAAGGCCCTACGCCGACGTCGTGCGTGTGCTTCTCGGAACACAGCGGGTTGATAGGATGTCCAAATGTGCAGCCGGACGGACACCGCTGGACTGGGCAGTACGTGAGTGCTCTGAACTGGATGAGCCTTGTCTCGACTGGCACAGGCATCAGGAACGGAAATGGGCCACTGCGTACATGCTCATCACAGGAGAACTGGATCAAGCTCCAACCGCCAGTTCCATAGAGAGGCTTCTTAAAGAGGCTATTGAGCGTGGCAAGCCGCAGGTGGTCTCGGAGCTCATTCCCTCTCCCTTAGCCAAGGACATATACTCTCCCTCCGAACTGATTGAGCATGCCATGGAGCAAGGGTCCGATGAGATGGTGAGAGCCGTCGTTACGGCTTTCGCAAAAAGCGAGATTGAATTGTCTCCTACCTCGATTCTGTCCAATGCGGCATCCGCCGGGAGGACTGTACTGGTTGAAGAGCTACTCGGTCGGGAGACGGCGTCCAAAGCCGATGACCAGAGTGTCATCTCTCAAGCAGCTGCCAACGGACATATAGAGACGATACAAATGCTTCTGGAAAAAGGCACAGATGTCAACCAAGCGGATGTAGATGGGAAAACACCTCTTATGTTGGCGGGCATTCATGACCAAGAAGAAACCATAAAGGTACTGCTTGAATCCCCGGGAATTAATGTCAATGCTGTAGACAAAGACGGACGGACAGCTGTATCTCATGTGGCTGGTGCTTGGTACTCGGGTTGTTTGAAGTTACTCTTGGCAGATCCGAGGGTTGATGCAAAGCGGCAAGATTCACAAGGCCGATCGCCATTGTGGTATGCGGTCGCCGCGTGGCGCCGCAAGGCCATCCGTGCCCTTTTGGAGGCTGCATCATGTTGTGAGGTTGAAGAGGAAGAATGTGGGCGACTAACGTATCCTACTTGTCAAGAAACATATAGTCCGGCTGCGTGAAGCTGCAAGCTGAGGTGACTGGCATTGGCCTAACTCCTACTTATTTGTAGACGCTAGGAGCTTCCGATTTGACAAGAGAAATGAAAAATGAAGGAATAAATGATTTTGAACTCAAAAAACTAGCAATAGTAATTTTTCCACTTGGAGCCCTCAACGACATGACTTTGCTCCTACTCATTTTGGGTTGTAGGTAAGCTGCTGTATTATTTCCGAGTCAAAGAGCCCGAAAAAGGTAAGGGGTTGATCACAATCCTTGTTTGGTACATGAAGTAGTGGGAGAGGCTCGACGAGACGTATATACGCCGTTGGCGGCACGGGCGCCTGTTCGATGAAGGAGGCCGCCTAGCTTGGAGGGTCAAACACCACCTCCTAGAGCACGGGGTGAAAGACAGTTGAAACTTTACATTGTACGCTATTAGGCGGCAGAATATTGTCGAATGACTCTTCAAAGTTCTTCAGATGAAATCTAATTTGACTCCGTGAGTAAGCATGAGACAACCAATATCACATCGATATAATGCATTTGGCAAATGTATTTAGATATGTGACGGGATATTGTAAAAATTGGCAGTGTTAGTGCTGTCACACAGTTACACAGAGATACGATGATGAGACCTAGGGTATAAGGCTCTCACTAACTTCTTGTATAAATAGAGCTCTTAAGCCGATTTACGCCTTGAAAAAATTAGGCACCTTTAATACTAAAGACTGTTGTAAGATGAATTGAACCAAAATATTCTAAGCCCTCACTGAGCCCTCATCACACTACGTGACTCACACTTTACACCACTAGGCAACAACATCGTGAATAACCCTAACCCTTACTCTCCTTACTACTCCTCCCGTATAGTGCGCTGTACAATTCTTCCATTGCAACGTATATCCCATCAAAAAACACGATTGAAAAAATCACCGACTACCCACCACTTACAGGAGATGCCTTCTATCACGCGAGCAGTGTCAAAGTTGACCATTTCTTGAATCGGTTGTCAGTCATGATCAACCCCGGCGCCGCATGGACAAACAGGGGAGCGGATATATCGGGAGACACCTGGCTCATCAAGCTCGACTTGAAAACGGGCGGCTAGCTCTGGTGCAGTAGCCTAACTCCTGCACTGAATGGCGCGTATGGAGGGTATTAGGACGTGGCGCATGACTCCTTGGGTAACTCGTACGTTATTGGCACTTTTCCGGGCTCCATTCTCAAGGTCGACCCCAGCGGAAAGGATTTAAACCCATGTTTTTTAAGCAATGAGACCGACACTACGGTAACTGGATTCACTGGCATTGTGTATCTCAACGACAAGTTGCTCACGGCGTATGGGCGAAAAGGCCAACTACTATGCTTTGGCAGTGGCGACAAAAAGGGTCAGCCTACTTAAATCCCGATTGGAACAACCGAAGCACCACCTACAACGGACGCCATTTTTGAGAATATCGAAGCTACTAATCTGCCTCAGAAGTACAAGAGGTACGGTTCTCCTGGTGGCTTCCAACACGGAATGAGTCCATGTATTGCGATCCAAGGACGGTAAATGGGATTCGGCTGGGAAGCTTGGCGTAATCCCCAACACCTACCTCGAGGGCGGTGGGTTTTGTGTAACATCTGTGCAGGTGGGAGAGCGTATCGATGCTGTGATTGAGTACTTTGGAGATATTGCGGACCCGGTTCCTGGTACCATTGCTGGCAACGGAACAGAGTTTCCCCTCCAAGATATTACTCCTGCTGTGGACGAGTTGGTCCAGAAGTAATGTCATTCGAAGCACTGCGATTAAGGTAGGGTTATAGAAGGATATATATCTGTTACCTCGGGGTCTGTAACTAGTTCTACAAGGGGCCAAGTAGGCAAGAAGCACTTGCCCACTACCAATACTAGATTCGAAATGATTGGCCCCATCATTTTGTGTGTTTGACAGATGTTTCCTACAGTCCGAAACGTGAAGGAAGGGCAGTCAAAACGCGACAGAATCAACGAGAATTATCAGCAAAGATGGTTCGCCATGCGCAACGACAACTCTTACTTGGTTAGTCTTATTTCTAGATATAGTTGAGATTGTACTCACAATGTGTCCAGGCTCATGCTGTTGTCCTGGCTTGTTACAACTAACTCGGCGCAAAGGCATTATGAAAAGGGGACAGACGTTGACCAGGCACCGGCCACAAATGATGGCACAGAATCATTCAGTGACAGGTTATCGTAAAACAATAATGGAATATGTCCAATCATAAGAATGTGACAAGTTGGGCTTTTGGGATTCGACTCCAACACTTGGTCGAAATCTCGGGAAAATACGTCGTGCTCCGATTTACTCTTGGCGCCATAGATGTGGTCAAGATAATGGTAAGAAGGCTGCGGTGAACTGATTAAAACGCCATCTTCCGAGGAGAATTGCACGTTTTGAGACGCCTGGTTGAGAATATATCGGTCGGTCGGTCGGTAGAAGCTCGTAATTCTGCATTAGGGCCCTGGTGCCAAACCGGCCAAGAGAAGTGAGCTTATGGTCAGCCAAGGGGCTTTAAAAATTTACTCGGACTCATATCTGACTCCAAAAATTCATCAGACGGCTTCTCTGCCACCAAAAGACGTGAAAGCGCGTGTAAGTCGTATTGCACAAGATGGGCGTCACTGCATTAGTTGACGTGGCTCTTGTATTTCCCCAATCATGTTGGTAGCGATTGCGTTGGCTAACACACACCATTACGGATTGTCCAGTCATTTATGCTACAGCCGTAGCATAAACATGTTGGGTTTCCAATTTAGACAAAACTACATCTTGATCCACGGTCCAGTATATGCCGCACACAACCTACAGAGCGCAAGTTGCCTTTGTTAACCGAGCATGAAACACAGCACTCGACAGTCTCCGTCGCAACACCTTATTTTGGAATTTCAATGACCAACCCGTCAAATGAAGCATCACTATTTTTTATTCGCTATTCTACGCACGACTATCCAGAAGCATGTTGAACCATCCAGTCGTTCTCGTATAATTGGCATGTTGTCCCCTGGTTGAATGGTAAGAAAATGCACCAAGTACATCTACACGCCCGAATCTTTCGCGACGAAGGCGTGGTGGTTGGCAGCCGGGGCGTTGCGCAAACGACATGTTGACTGCACCTTTGACACAACCGGAAAAAAATTTGGCCACGATATCCTCACGCCGTTCTACCCAACTCAAGTACACAAGAAGTTTGACGTTGGGCAACTCCAGAGTCCGCGCCTCCTCAAAGTCTAAGTAAAGGCACATGTGCAGCATTAATGCTTATGTAGCTTGGAACCAAGATGGCGCAGTGGAACGGCGTGGGGGCCCGCCCTTTCGGAGCTGATGTATTCGCGAAACTGGCCGTCATAAACCAGGGTTCGTAGCAAAAAGCACCAGACTTGAGGCCATATTGATTGCATAGAGACCTAGTTTCTTTTCATAAGTGCCTAGTCCCAAAAGCTACATGTAACACATGGTGACACCAGCCCTTTCCGGAAGGAGGTATCACGGCCGACTGCCGTGCATAAGCTACCAGCCTATCAAGTGGGTTGTCGGTTCCCCAACGCCACACATCTTGAAACTTACATCAAATGGCAATTGAGTGATGTCGTACAAGTGAATTGAACAAAAAAACAAGCAAAAATTAAGAACATTTTATACATTTTGTCAAATTATCAGAGTAAAATTCATGGTATCTGGTTAGGAAGCGGCCAGCAAAAAGGATATTTACCAAGACTGGGGTTCGAACCCAGGAATCTCTCGATAGTGGAAATTACGCCAAAAATCGCTTAAGCCCACCGCCTTAACCACTCGGCCATCTTGGTGTTGTTGAATTTGACGTCTCAATTTGCTATATACAGGGCACTTGGTCTACACCCACTAACAGCCCACGCCCCGGCACTCACTGCCCCAAAAGTGAAACCGGGATGGGATATTGGGTGGCTTTTCGGGGCTTTTGTCATCAAGTTAATCAAGTATATCAATTGGTCTTTTATAGAAATAGTTCACTTCCTCAAGTGCTGCATGTCATGGGAAGTGCCGTCTGGTTGGTGTATGCATCGCGACCTTGACACGTCTGGTACAGTCAATAGGTAGCCGTATTAAGCGTGTCCACTGAACTATTGACCTGTAGTGGACCACAGGCGTCAACTGGTCGCTTGGAGCAGAAGCGCCCCGGGCGCCCGGCAACATTGAACCAGACTTGCTGTCCGGAGGGCCCGGTCGAACACACGGCACCTGCGGCTTTATGGAGGAATCATGTACGACGGACTGCTTTTTGTCTTCCATTATCTGAAATCGACAGAGCTTTATAGCTATATGATTGCTTTTATACGGAAAGTTGTCCAGCTCCTGCACAGCGAAGCCTTTTTCTTTGGGTAAGTCTCACCACGACACGCAACGTAAGCCTTGAAGTAACTTCTCATGTGCTGCCGTGTGTCCGCGCGTAGATTTCTAGTCCTCTCTTGCGATGAAGCTCGTGGTGCTTGAGATTCTCGAAACTAGCAGCGAGCCTCGCGACCGCACATTTAATTCTAAAATGCATCGTCTGGCAAACTGAGCTTTGGGCTGTTTTTCTTTTCTTACGCCTTTCCGTAGTCTCCAAGAGCATGTTGGCATTTGAAAGGATCCAGTGAGAAGTGTCCTCTACCTGACTCTCCATAATGTCCTCAATTCCTCCCCTCTCGGGGCGCGGGTTAGTGATGGCAAATCAACCATCAACGGGTATACTTGAATATACTGACCGATACCGCGATATCGTCAAAAAGCCACTCACCACAGGGGCCTATTGAACGACTCGATTCCTTGGCCAGCAGGATCTGTCTCATTTCTGTCTCTACCTCAATGGAAAGGGTCTCTGCCCTTTCAATGTATACTGTTCATAATTCTCCCTTTTCCTTTGGTGGGAAAAGACACCTCCTGGTTTATTACCACTTTAATGTATGAGCCAGGGTTAAAGGATTTCTTGATAAACTTGAATACAAGTACATCCCATCTCCGCTTATCATAATCTAGATCCTCATGTCATGCCGCCGCTCTTCCCCTTAAACCTCGAGTGAAGTGCACACGAGCCAGGGTGCTCACATGTTCTGGTATTCGCCCACTGAACGACTTGACGCCCGTCCAGCGGCCGCTAGATCAGGAGGTCTAAACCTCACGGTAACAGACAATCGCAATGAGGAAAAGTTGTGACGAGGCCTTTTCCGAATCTCAAAATTGACCCTTGACATCCATAAAAAGCCCTCAATTCCCACAGCCCGATAGGTTGAATACTAAGAACAAGTCCGCTCTTCAATATTCACGATGCCCACTTTGTGATACCAATGCTACAGCGGCGTTATTCCATCCCACAGGACTTGCTAGATTAGGTGGCTGGTCAGCCTTGCAATTTTCTGATATTGATGATTTCATGACTCACAGTAATTGCGTCCAGTCTACTTATTCAATGAACGGAGGCAGCATTACCCAACAGTTGTAGTTCCCGAGCAAAAACGCCACTAGGTAGGTGCCGGTACAGCTTCCTCAATATCCTCGTCCAAGAGGCTAGGCCCTCCAAGTATTTTGTTGACGACGGCAGTCACGTCGTCAACAATGTTTGCTTCGGGTATCCCCGTGTTGGCGACGATTTTTTGCACAGTATTCTGCGCCATCTTGTCTTTTTTTCGTCCAGTCCTCAAATCATGCTCAATCACATGGACGGCTTTATCAGCAGCCATATCTTTGACCGGACTGCCAGCTAAAATGCCTTGGATCTTTGCTCTTGCCCATTCGTCTCGAAGCCGCAATACAAACTCCGGGGGCACTTCCTTGCGAACGCGCCGTCTACCAAAAAACATGAATACCAAAGCAATGAATTGCCACGTCTGTACAGCCCAATGCATCATCGATAGACCGACGCTTTGCAGAACAAAACTAACAGGAATCAAAACCAATACAATATTGGTAAACCGCGATTCAAAACACCAGTGATGAGACAAGGCGGTTGAGTCCCTGTGTGCGGATAGGACTTCTGCCTCGATATTTTTCGCAAGAATATAAGCCTCGGTATGCCAGTCATCTCCCTGCATCTGTCTTTGCACCCAAACGACCTTTGCCTTCTCGCCATCTGGCGGCTTCCAAGTGGACCGTCTTACCTTGAGAGGCAAGGTGAGAGACTTGGCTGTATACAGCAGGCCTAAAAACAAGAAAATCGTCCCCGATTCAACACAGGCAAAAGCAGTTATTCGAAATGCAAAAGATGCCTTGTCAAAAAAACACGATATAAGCGATGGATGGAAGGCTGTAAATGCGGTAAAGACCATTATGCCCACCTGAAAAGTGAGTCCAAAGATACACAGAATGTACATACTGAGAGACCGCTTAAATGGTGTCAGATTGAGTAGAAGATTGGGCGGATCAGTCGTCTCGTTGTCCTTTAGGCTTCCTAGGCCTATTGGCGATCCTGAAATGTGTCAAATTGTACGTAGTTTGCAGAACTGTAACGATATACATACCTTTTGACGGTTGCAGCCAAGGGTCATACATCTTGCCGCGATATTTACCGCCGTATTTCGCAATTTTCGAAGGAAGAAGCTCTGGAGGGATATCCTCTCTCCCGGGTAGATATATATACTCTCTGATAGGTCCTGGCTTCCTCGAGACGGTTTTTTCTACTCTTTCCACTTGACGGCCATTCCATATCTCGCATATTTCCTTTGAACAAGTTGAGAGTAGGTCCTTTTCCAAAGCTTTTCTGTAGCTTGTGTAAAAAGTGTCCATCTTGATATTTTGTAGTTTCAAAAGCCTGGACAAGACTTTCATGGCATAGGGCACACCCGTGGGAATTACAGAAAAGACAACCCAGTCACAGCAGTTGTGGGACAAGGACAGATATCGGTTTGTAAAGTCCTCTCCAAGAAGGGCCAGGAAACTAAAATCTGATTAGGGTTAGCATGAATATGACGGGCCGAGAACTTACGGAGCAACTCCGCCAAGCAGATTCATAGAATCCCATGGCGTAAGACTGGGGCTGGTGCTGGTGGATCTGTCAACTAATATTGGCGCCATGATATCAGAAATGAGTACCCGGAAAGAACACATACAGATTCAGCACAGTATATTTAAAAAAAAAAAAAAAAGAAATCCTGAATTAAAAATACTCTATATATACCGCCCACAAATGCCCGATGTCCTGCTGCCAGAGTAGGTGGGTGGAGTTGGGGCGTTAACGTTTGTGCAAAGTTTACGGCTGAAAGTTGTATGAGGTCTGGCTTACAGAAGGTCCATGCCGAAAATAGTTTGCCATGGAAACCCATGGGGTGTCGCACTGCCAGCTGTGGATGTGTCTGGTGGCTTAGTGATGGTGTATAGATTGCAGTCTAAAGCAAAGCTTGGTATGATGGATAAGGGCGACTTCGGAAGAGCCCCGTGAGAGGCGTATAGTGGGACTTTTTGAAGATGCCAAACGTCCTAATTATAGTCCCTTGGAGATGGGCAAGGCAGGGGAGAAATACCGCCAGCCGCTGTTACATATAACACAAGAAGTTTTGATAAATTATGTCAGCTTAAATAATATCAGCCACCGAGCTTCGACATGTGGCGACAGGACAGAAGAAGAAACTCTGACCTGGGTGTTTGGGATCAGATGGATGTTCCAAAACTTCTTCATCGGTTTCGAATCGTTCACTACAACTTCGATGCGGGCAGTGGAATAACTGAGTGCACTTTCGCGTGTTCTGCCGCTTGTGACGCAGTGTTGAACACTAGTTCGCACTTGTACCGCTCTGCAAGAGGTCAAGGGTGCTCGGTGCCAATATGCCGATCTGCATCAAGTCTAGCTTTGGTTGCCACTTGAAACATTGCTTGAGGCCACAGTTAAACTGTTCAGCGACAGGGCAAGGATATAATGCCCCATTGTGCATGATTTCTGCATGTTTTTGAGCATAACTCTTGTCAGCGAATATTGCACTACAGTTCTTTTGCTCTGCCAGAGGCACGGGAATCTTTGTTTCTCGTGGACTGAACTAGCATGGGGATCTAGCCCTTGTTCGTGACGTAAACAGGTCATTGCAATTATACTTATCAGCGAGCGGGCAAGGGTACCGCACTTTCTTATGTACCACCTTTGAATGAGAAAGAGCACCGCTGAGACTCTGGAAACTTCTGTTACAGCCATACAGCCACACTCTTTCGCCCCGGGACAAATGTAAGACCGTTTTACGTTGTGAGTTACGCCATGCTGACTTGCGGATTCTCGAAAATTGAAAACAGACGTGCAGTCCGACTCCTTCGCATAAGAGCCCGGATATGTCTTAGTTTCGTGTTTCCGTTGGGCATGCTGCCTTGCTCCACTCCGAGTTGTGAAGGTCATTGCACAGCCTCTCTCTGTTGCACAGAACAGAGGCATGGGTACTGTTTGTTCCTGTGCTTCGTCTCAACATGCGGTCGTGTGCCTCTAAAGAAGAGAACCTTGATATGCAGGCACTGGCTCCTGCAAGCGTACATAGAAACCTCGTTTTGGCCTGTGCAGAGTGAATGTGCATATCTAGAGGCGTGACTGACGAGGCTGTTATTCTTCAACCAAGCTTTTCAGCAAAGGGGCATATGAACCGGCCATCTCCAGTCTTGTTAATTGGCGCGACGTTATGACTAAGTATTGCATGAGAAAACGTCTCCGACTGGCTGTTGGATGTCTCCGTAAAAGTAAACTTGTTGGCATACGTGCAAGAGAACAGCGGCGGGATGAAAGATTCGCACACGATAAAAGCACGGTGAAGAGTCCTTACCATGGTCTGTAAGAGGGACTGGAAGTTAGGTAGCTAAAGTAGGGGTAGCTGTATTGTAATAATTAAAGCTTATTCTATTTTCTAGTTATATAAGATATAAGGGATATAGTTTTAAAGCTCTTGTTTTATATAACGTTATTAATTACGTTATAAGTAAGTAAAGTCTTTTAATTACCTTATAATTATTCTCTTTTACTTTAATTAAGCGTTAAATAGCTTTAATACTTACTTATTAATTATATAATAGTATATTATTAATTAATAAGTATTAAAGAAGGCTATTTAACACTCGGTTAAAGTAAAAGAAAATAATTATAAGGTAATTAAGGAACCCCGCCTACCTATAACGCGATTAATAACGTTACGTAGAATAGAAGCTTTAGAACTATATTTCTTATATCTCGTATAACTAGAAAATAGGATAAGCTTTAGTTATTATAACACAGCTACCCCTACTTTAGCTACCTGACTTCTAGTCCCTCTTATAGTCTTACAATATTACTAAGATATAGGATTATTATAGATATAGTTTACTATTATACTCTAATAAGCTATACTACGACCACGCTCTATAGAGCACGAGTTTACTATTATGCTTAAATAAGCTATACTACGACCACGCTCTATAGAGCACGAGTTTACTATTATGCTCAAATAAGCTATACTACGACCACGCTCTATAGAGCACGACTAGAACGCTCTATTCTAGCAAATAGGCTAAGTCGTGCTCTCATATTATCCCATAGTAGAGTTGATAAATATATATTAAACTGAATCTTGTCCCCCAACCCACGTCCCTGCCAGGCTCACACGCTTCATGCCAAGATGTGAGCGCATAATGCAATTCTCACTTGGGCGGTTAACCTATTGTTATGTAAGCATGTTGTGGGGGAGAGTGTCGCAGAGGATATAAGAGGGTGTAACACACAAAATACTGTGGCGTGGCCACGCCCGTTTTTTGTGTGACAGAGAGGGGTTCCGCAGCTAAAGATATAAGCTTTCTGAAAGAGTCAATACAATTTAATCTGCAGAGTCAATGCAGAAAAATAAATTACCCTTGCCGCCTCATAGTCTGATACGATGGTCCAATCGGTTCTTGCCAAGCTTCACTCGGCTATTATGCATGAGCCCACCCCCTTTAAACTTTCTTGTCTTGGCTATTGAGGCTGTACAGGCCGGAAATTTCGGAAACTGTAGGCTGGGGCTTGTTACACGTGAAACCGTACGAAAAACCGTGGCATTACCAGGAACCCACTACGGTGCAAAAGCCTTGCAAGGTGCTCGGCTTTGAATAGCATTCCCGGTCGGTCGGGGTCGCTTGTCCGGGGTCCTCGCCATGTACCTTTTTCTGCGTCGTATGATCCAGAGGCAACTTGAATGCAGCAGCGACAAAACCGAGTCATTTGAGAATGTGCCATAGTATGAGACGGCTCGTCTGGAACTGCTTTCCGAGAAATTCATCAATCTAGACAAAAATAAATTGACACATAGAATGAATTCACTAATGCTAGAAACAAAGTGTTGCCAACCTCCTTGCTACATGTATTGTCGCATCTAAATCAAACTGTAAAGAGATACTAGTGGTTTTGCGCTAGTCGACTACAAACTCTGGCCGCATGGCTATTTGATGGGTTCTTTCCTCAGACTGCTTCCT